TGAATTAAGTAGCTTACTCATCAGTGATATTGTTAGACTTACTTGGCAGCAGGAACGGGTGCATTCTGGAAAGACTTCTGGGTACGATATTGACATCTTCAATATTAATTTTGAGTGGTGTAGATGTAGATAAGCAATGGGATTTTGAAACGATAAGCTGACTAAGCATAGCCCTGGCCTGATTCCTGACTTCCATGTGCCCTTTGTAATTTAGAACACATCATTAAAGTTAGGACCATTGTTACTCAACTTCCCTGGGGATTTCTGCAAAAAGAATTACAATTGCAGAACATCTCTTTTTCTGCGGGAAGGATTCTGCATGAAAGAATCATCAGCTTGTCCAAAGCTTGTCCGGTGCTAGTCGGAGACCCAGCTGCAGTGAGTGGTCGACTCTGCAGAAACTGTGAGGTGCTTGTCCCTGAAGCAGTGGCGTATTTAGTCCCGTCATGGTTTAGAATCTCCCAGCAGAGAGAAGCAACTCTGCTCAACAGTGGGCAGTGACCTGCTGACTTCTGTTTACTCTGCTAGGGTTGATACTGACCAGTGGACTGCTATTCTTACAATATTGCCATGAATGCAAAGTACAGATACATCAGTGTGAAATAGAAAGTGTTCTCTCTCTGTGACCCTTTTTTAGTTATTTTTAACGGTAGCGAATCCACATACGAGGTGTATTTTTCTTGGCCCTCATGCGGACATTTGGTGCCGTGAAGTACACACACGTTCCCACTCGGCAGGTCTCCAGGACATTTTTATGCTGCAGGATTGAAGCATTTTACCTGTTCACTGGCTCTTCTACTGCCTTGGTTTTCATCCACCAAGCTCAGGAATGATTGCAGTCAAGAAGGAGGCAAATAGTCCTCAAACCGCCATTTGCCTCCAGCTTGCGTGGCCTCTCTTCTGGCTTTAGTTGTGCTCCCCTCTCGGGTGATTTAAAGGTAAAGGTCAACCTGCATTTAGCAGCTGTGTGCCAGAAATTGCGCTAAGCCTGTTCATCATGATCCTGTTTGCTCCTCTCAACAGCAGCGTGCGGGTAGCACAGTTGCTGTCTTTCTCCCAGAGTGGACAGCAGATTTGGTGAAATTGAGTCCCTTCCTCACGTTCATTCATAAAGTGGCAGCCAGAGGGTATGGATTCGAGGTGTGTGCACCTAGAGTCTGTACCATTAATAACCTGCTCGCTCCTCTGCGGAACACCCCTCCTGTCCTTCCACAAGACCCATCGGCCACTACACATCTGTGTCAGGGCGGGCTGGATGACGGATAGAAGCAGAACAACAAACCAGAAATCTCCTTTGGGACTTCTGTCCCCTTCATATTGTCAAAACCATGCCAGTGCACAACTCTGTACAGCCATTTCCATGGATTGTACACCTGCTACCAATAATAAAACATTGAAAGGTCTGAACTGTAAATTTATTTCACCCTAATGTCTGGAGGTATGATGCATACTTCTCAATTTGGCAGGGTCCTCACCACCTCTTGCCTTCCCTTTGCGGCTTCACTTGTTTGCTTTAACTGCTTTGCCCCCATAGGTGTCAGAAGGGAAATCCCTGTTTAACAATAAAAATTGGCGTGCACATGAGATAATTTTCTTTATATATTTGATATATTAATGTACGAGACATGTTTTACCTTAAGGCTTACTTTGTGCCAAATCTTTTACTGCCTTATCATACAGTATTCTTACTAATATTGAGGTCCCTTACATTTTCAGTACTAACAACCTTGAATTTCCTTCTTTGAGTCCTGTTATTTAATTCTTGGTGTCTCCTTGATCAGACGTAGTGAATCAGAGGAGGAAAAGGCCTTTCTTGATGCTCCTTTTTTTGTGGATTTCCTAGAGATATGTTAAAAAATTTTCTTTGTGCGCGTGTGTGCATGTGTGTGTGTTTGTGTGTGGTGTGGAGGTGCGTTTTGGGCTCAATCAGCAGAGTAATAGAAAAAATTCTTTCCTCTGGGCCTCAGTTTCTTTATCTGTAAAGTGCACTTAGCAATACTACACATGACTAGTATGAGGCTTGTATAAAATATCAGGTGAGGTACTTAGTGCAGGTTAAAAATCCAGAATATGTAGGTTTCTATTTCCCTTCCTTTATTTTGCCCAGAAAGTAAGATTGAATAGATATTGCCAGTGATATCAAAGTGTATAAAAGGATTTCTGATGAGAATGTCAGAGAAAGGTTGCAATAAAAATGTACTCTCACAAACACACGCCTAATAAAACTGCCATGCCATGTCAATATGCTTGCTTATTATATATAAATTCATTCTGCGTGTGTGCACGCATGTGCATTCAACATCTGTGTATGTTAGTGTGCATGTGCACAATTCTGTGTGGAGTTTGTATATGGACTGGTGTGTTTGTCTAAATGTGCTTGTGCATGCACACACACAAAGAAGCAGCTGGAAGAAGAGAATGTATTGGCCCCATATTTAGTGGTAACCCTATTGTATATTGTAACTCATGTTATATAAAACCAAGTCCATTTATGATGTTGGCCTTATCTTCTAATTAAACCCATAGCCATGAACCTTCTTTACACCTGCATAAAATAATCAGTGCAATTTCTCTGCACCAAGGGAAGCATGATTTCTTTGCCTGTTATGTGACCCGTCAGCACCCAGGCGACTCATGGGGGCCTGGCTTTCAAAGCTATGTTCTGCCTCTGTGTCCCTGTGCCCTCTGCACCCACTGCTGGTGCTTCCCCTGGGCTGTTCTCAAGGGCATCTGGGTGCTTCCAGCAATTTCCCTTCTCCCTTCACAGTACAGGGTGGAGGAGGCTGTTCTGACTCCAAATAACCTGTCCAAGAGCTTTCCTCTGGATTATCCACACATGAGTGAATAAATTATTATTCTGCATCCATTTCTAAAAACTTCGCTGATAACTAATGATGACTTATTTCAATGAAGCCAAAGCCAATATTTGAGAAAGAAAGTAAGCTTGTCTTGGAAGCTGTGAAGGCAGAAAAAAGGACTATGAATCATAGCAGTTTAAAGGCCTAAATTTGTTTTAAAGCTTACTTTATAATAATACTAATATATGCTCTGTGGAACATTCTTTAAACCCTCCTAGCTAATAGTTTTATTTTATAGGGATGGAAAATGTTTTTTGACTCCATTTTGTACTTTGGACTCCGTGGCTCAGCCCATGTATAGAAGTCACCCTAACAGTTGGTAGCAGTAGACCCAAATACTGGAAAAATAAAGATAGGAAATTAACTCACATGTTCATTCAGTCACACAGCAAGCATTAGGAACTCAAGGAAATTGAGTAGGGTGGGATAATAAGGTAGAAAAGGCCAGGGTGACTGCTGAAGCCAGAAACACAAGAAGAGGGAGGATTTTATCAGGCCACACAAGGATTTGGGAGAGGGAAGTCAGTGATAAGCCGTTGAGTGGCTTCATGAAGAAGGTCGGAATCAGTTTCGTGTGACAGGATACTGGCAGCGTGCTGAATGGATTGAAGGGGACAAGAGCGACCTGGTGACGATGGCGAGAGGGACTCAGGGGCCTGGATGGTCACGTTTTGGGCTAAAGCAAGTGTAATGGGGAGGGAGAGGAGGGAGAGGAGGGAGAGGAGGGAGAGGAGGGATCCGACGGTGCAGTTCATTAGGTTAATGCCCAGGGCTCAGGGATGAATGGCGTTGAGAAGGGGCGAGAAAGCAAAGTCAGGACGGATGTCCGGAGGTGAGGCGCAGTGCTGACAGGATGGCTGGCGGGTTGTCACGGAGCTGCAGACAGGGTGGCAGGAGGGCGTGGGGGAGGTGCCAGCGGAGCACCCTGTGTTTCCGCTATTTATGGAATATCCAAAGAGAAGAGTCTCTGAGGAAGCTGTTTTAAGTCTGAAACTAAGAAGTGTGAGCACGTGTGTGTGCGCGTGTGTGTGTGTGTGCGTGTGTGTGTACTCATTTGGAGCAGTTACAAGCTGTTCCCAGGATGATTGATGCTAATTTAAAAAAAAATGAAAGTAGTCAATGAGTTTGTTGAGTAAAAAGAGAACATAGTAAAATGGAGGATGGTGAAATGGTCACATGTAAAGAAAAATCAGACAAAGTGAGAGCATCCAGAAGAGATGGGAAGGAGGTCGTGGAAGCCCCGAGAGAAATGCTGTTGGAGGAAGAGGGAGCCGGTGGTCTTGAGGTCTGAGGCTGAGGTGTGCAGGTCTAAGTGTGCTCGTGGACCTCCGCCCTGCAAAGCCCCTCATTCCTCAGTGGGACAGACTGGGAAGTACCGTGGGTGGAAGCTAGGTAGAGGGAGCAGCCTGAGTGGTCACCATAGGCATCTCGTGTTCAGAACTTGCACCACACCCTGTGCTCAAAGCCAGTTTGGGTAACATCAGACTCAAGTTATTGTTAGGGAAACTAAGGCTTCTAGAATTTAAGTAACTAGGAACAGAGGACTGTTGAGATGTGAACCTGCTCATTCTGATGCCAAAGCCTCCTCTCTGGGTATTTTTGTCCACTTGCCTTGGTGTGGTGTCCAGCAACCCTTCTGTGGCAGCAGTGTTTGTTCACGTATTTGAGAATATGAGTTTTGGGGAAATATCTGTATAATGAAATCATAGAATTGCCAGAATAATTCAGAAAGAACAAAACAATGGGATAGTGTATGTGTGTAGGGGCGGGTGTTGACCCTTCTTTAACTGATGAACTGTGATGAGGGTTAACCGGGGGAGGGAGTTGGTAGGCAGCTGCTATGGGCGTTCCTAGGTTTGGGGACAGAGGATTATAACAGTATGCGCTCAACACTTCAGATATGGACATGGAAGATGGAGCCCCTTTCACGTGGAGACCTAGCCCTCCTCTCATTTAGTTTAATGCAGAGATGAAACGCTAAATATGGGGAAAGAACGATAGGCCAGAACTTCGTGTTCAGGCTCAGCTGCCCCTCTGTGTGCTGTGATACACTAACACAGGTGAGTTTATATATTTAGGGTTTAAAATCTTATACTCCACCCTGCTAATTCTCCCTGTGTCTCTCCCCTCTCTTTCCATCAGATCATGCTTCTTAGCGACCCGGAGATCGAGAGCAGTTTATTGATCAGCTCCGACGAAGGGGCCACCTATCAGAAGTACCGGCTGACCTTCTACATCCAGAGCCTGCTCTTCCACCCGAAGCAGGAGGACTGGGTGCTGGCCTACAGTCTGGACCAGAAGGTGAGCAAATAACTGTTTTGTGTGCGTCTTGTCGCCCCATCCCACCTTGTGACTTCTTGAAGGGTGGCCAATGATGTTTCATCGTTTGTGCCAAGTTGGTTTCCTCTGCAACACTGAACCTTCCTTTCTACTCTCCAGTGTCATCGTGGGCAGGCAGGCAATCATCTCTCACTCTGGGGGCAGTTCCTCTTGTCATTTCACAGTGAGTTCTTTGAAAAATTTTACTCACTTTGACCCTATTTAAAACAGCCCCATGAGGTCAGCAGAAGATGTGCCGCCCTGATTTGTAGTGGCCGTGTGAACAAAAGTGCAGAAAGGCCGAGGTGCGCTTTCAAAGTCACCTGCCCCCAGCTGGAGGGGCCAGCATTGGGATGCGTACTCCAGAGCCCGCGTCAGGCGTGTTCTCCCTCGTACTGAGCTCTCGTACCTCTCTTACCTCTCCCTCATACTGAACATTCATTGGTGACGTTGGAACATGCCCTTGTTTTCAGTTTAGCAGTGGGCTCAGAGACTCAGACAAATCCACTGTTATTTTCTAAAACTACATTAAAGATGTGGCGGATCAGTAGTCTCCTTTTTAAGCCCTGAACCTGTATGTGCAGCTGTGTCCTGGCATTGTCTGTTGTGTGCTGCAGAAGACCCAGCGTAAGCCCACAGTGAACTCCTGCTCTTGCCCCAACATAGCTGACTGCCTTCCATAGTCCCTCACTCCATCCATCCAGTTGCAAAGTCAGAATCTGGGCGGGATCCTTCATGCTTCCTTTTCCTAATACACAGCTCCTCTCTATCTTTGGGTTTTTGCTCTGAATATTTAGTGGCCACGTGCTCAACCGCAACAGAAACAAACCCATTATATTTGATAAGTTTGTACTTAAGAAGAGGAACTCTCTGTTGTTCTTTGTTGTATCCCAGTATTCTCAGGAATCTCCACCCAGATGCCAAGCTGTGATGTAGTAATGTTGTGGAATCAGTGAAGTAGGGCAGGAAATCGGAAGCACTGTCTCGCCCGGAGACAGACATAGGGCGACCATGGTTGAAACAGACTCTTCTCTTGCATCCTAAAATAGATGCTTTTCAATATATGTTTAAATATGTGATCACGAATTTTTGTGTGTATGTGATGTCAGCACCTTCAAACAATAATTTCAACATAACCTTTATATCTCTCGTTCACAGAGCCTCAGTGTGGGCACCTGGTGCTCAGTCCTATTCCCCGAGGACACCCACATGACATTTGCAGAGCAAAACCCTCTGCAAATATATTTCTTTCATGGCTTCAAGTGGATATTGTATGAAAGACTTAGCCAAATGTCAAATAGCCTGCGAGTTCAGGTGCTTAATATAGCCAGAAACTCTGAAACTATCTTGAAAAAAGTCAATTCTTTGGATGTTGGTAAATGGTTGGATGGTGACTTATTTAGGTTAAGCTCAGAGCTCTTAAATCATATTTTTGCAGAGAAAGGCTTTATTTGAGCAAACCACGTGCCGTATTGCGTGTGTATATCTGAGTGATCCTTCTCCTTCACTTTCACAGCACTGAGAACTTTTGGAACATCGCTCATGAGGTACCCTTGTGGATACAATACCTTTGGAATTCTTTCAGATTTGATGGTTGCTTTTTCACTTAGGAAAAATATTTGGAAATGTAGCAGCGGGTGTTGATGGATTTTCCTAATCACGCTGCACATTTCTAGATGTATTGGTCCGTAGGCGCTCTTTCTTGTTGACATCTTTTTCTGGAAGTGCCTGCCTATCGCTCAGACCCATGTAGTTTCTAACTACTGCCTGGCCGTTCTTCTTCTAGATGAATGGTGCGAGGGGAGTAACGTTTGCAGAGATGGCATAAAACACCCAGCTCTGCCACGCTAAGATGCGGTGGAGTTTTTCTTGATTTGAGGGGTAATTTAGTGGTTTAGAGTCAAGGCAGGTGATGCTGTGCAGCAGCAAATGAAGATGCAAGTGTAGCTGAGATGATTGATATAAAAATGTGTTCTCTCAGCCTAGAGCCCTCTGACGCACATGCACTAGGCAGCTGTTTTCTTCAAGAGAAAATGAAAAGAGCTTGTATTAAGGTAACTTCAGCATCAAAGGGAGATGTTTGTGGTGAAGAATGAATCGATGTTTCTATTATTGTGCCTCTGATGAAATGCACTAGCAATTCCTTTAGATTCCGGAAGGCTATCTCGTTATGTTGTATGTATTACAAAAGACCTAATTGAATGATATTTTAAAGGGACAATATCCAATTGCTTTACTTTTCAGACTGCTACCCCAAAGCTGCCAGAGACATGCCTGTAGATCTCACTTGGAAAAAGCACAGCTGGAAAATTTAAAAATACCCTGGGAAGGCAAAATTGCATCTAAAACCAGGTGTACATGGTGTTATACTACTCGAGGTGCTGGGTGGGGGGTTATGAGTTAACCGGGACACGTGGCTACTGGGAAACACTGGCAGAAAGCTCATCCAGGGCTTTGAAAGCAGTGCAGGGTTGGGTGGTTGGGGTGAGGACAAAGGTACCTTGCATTTGACCCTGCGGGAGGGCCACACCTTTGACCTCCCTGGGACGTGAGTCTTGCAGAACCTTTTCTGTGTCTGATCCTTAGTTTTGACTTCTGAGCAGTTCCTTCTCTCTATGAGCTTCCCAGTCCCTGCTCATTCCTGCACTGGCTACAGCTCTGCCCTGCAGATTCTCCCATCGTCTTTCATTTTTACATAAAAAAGACTCGGTACTGAGTAAAGATGAGACATTCACTCTTAACAATAGGAATCTTGGGCCAGGGATTTGGCTCAGTGGTTCCTGCACCTGCTTTGCAAGTGCAAGGACCTGTGTTCGATCCCCACTACCAAAAAAGAAAGAAAGAAAGAGACCATAAGAATTTTTGGAGCTATTTTGTAACCATCTTTATTGTTTAAAAATAATCAACAGGAAGTAATAGTTAATGGCTGACCAAATTGGAAATGATGGAGGAAAGTCTACTTCCTTCACCTTGTCCTGGAATCTAAACTCTCTACCTTCCTTTTGCGGGGAGCTAATACGCATTTATCAGTTACTTAAGAGGTAGAATTCTCTTAGTTCCAATACGCTGTGTCCTCACCAATAACGAATATAGCCAACACTGTGATATTTTGGATTAGCTGGAGGGCTCATTAATCTTAAAAAACAAAAGATTTTTGGAAAGAGTTTGAGGTAGTTTTTTAAGACAATGGAATCCTGGAAATAGAGAGCTGAGATTTAAATGCCCTTCATTTTGGCAAGAGACTCAGTGTTGTTTTTAGAAAATGGGCACACGCTCGTGTATAATTGCTGGCACAGGGAATAGCTGAAAATAGCTATATTTCTGCTGTGAGAAGGGGGATTGCAAAGCTCTCTGTTACATCTATCATCCTGGCCAAATGAAACTGGTATTGGAGGTCAGAGATGAGGAACTCAATGGGATTTCAGAGGCCATCAGTTTTCAGGGCTTAGGGTTGCGCTGGTCTAGACTTGCTGATCATTCACATGAGAAAACACTGTGAAATGCACACATAAAGGTGACTCTTCCAGTAGGTGGGGAGTGGGCAAGCAGCTCAGCATTTTTTGGAGAAGATATTTTATTTTTACGTGACTCACAGTGCTTGTATAAGTTAATGGGGAATGGTATGTTGCTTCAGTACATGTGCACACTGAATGATGTTCAAACCAGGGCAATTAGAGTAACTCGCTTTCAGCACTTTATCATTGGCGGTGAGCTACCGGCTTTAGCTGGTTGCCTCCTCCCAGCAGTTTTAATAGTGGCTCATAGGCTGACAAGCTGCTTGAAGAGTTGAAACAGTTTGAGACAAGGTGAAGGAACAGAGAGCCTGGTGTGTAGGACGTGCTGGGTCAGTTCTCGCCCCTGGACCCTACCTGGAGCTGCCACTTCACAAGCAGGGCGCCAGTGAATTACAGTGTATCTGGCTGTGCAGGGCCTCAGAACTCCAAAGGAGATTTAAACTTGTAATTCTGGAATGCAGGACTGAATGGAAGCCGGGCCTTTCATTTATATTCTCATTCGAAACCCTCAGATTAAAAATGTAATTGCATTCAGATCCTCCAGGATTAGTAGGTGATGATAACTTTCTCAGTAGCCATTGGCAGAGTCGGGCTTTGTGTCTCTGCTGCTGGTGGGGATTAGCTGGGGAAGACCATGGCTTGGGGCTTGTCATCCATAGAATAGGAATAGGGCTGAGGCGCGCTTTTTATTTAAAGAAAGCCTGCATCTTCATTAAGCCCCCTCCTGTTCTTATAAAACCATTTGTGTATCATCTGAGGGAGAGAGAAATCCACAGCCCTGCTCAACTGTAACACCCGCCACCACGGCTCCCTGTGTCTCACTGGGGTGGTGGGCACGTGCCGTCTTCAGCATCGCAGGACACCAGGAGGACTGGCCTTCCGGGTGGAGGCGGCATTCACGTGTTGCCCATCACTCACAGTCAGGGCGGGTGCTCAATAAGGGGGGTCCGTTCCCGAGTGTCACTTAGAAGAATGTCATCAACTCAAAATGAACTTCAGCAAAGTTGGGGTCCGATGACCCTGCCTTTCCAAAGCTGCTTGTTCTGTACTGAACCTCAGCCTTGCTGATCAGCCCCTCTACTTTCTGGGTGTCTGTCTTAAAACATGATACATTTCCTAGGTGGAAAGCATATTTGCCACAATATATACCAGAATATAGAGCACGTACAAGGTGTGTGTGTGTTTAATTTATAAAAATGTGTTACAGTAGAAGACACATTGCCAGTAATCCCTCTCCCCCTTTCTTTGAAGACCCTCTTCCCAAGATTCTTGCCATTAATGTGCTTAGCTAAGTGCTGACCTTAGAGCACTAGTTTTCTACTTGGACCCAGGAATTCTTCTGCCAGTCCTCCCTGTGCAAGCCTCCTGACTCTGTGCTCTGGTCCACCTGAGCAGCCTGTGCTTTTTCTTCCCCCTCCATTCTCTGCCGGAAGTTTGACCACTCACTTTGCTATGATGGCTCCTGGT